AACCTAACTCCTCCATTCCTTCATTTCATTCTCTTCCGTTCCCTTCCCTCCCTCCCTTTCACTTCCATCCTTTTCCTCCGTTTCCCTTCCTTCTGGTCCTTCCTGCAGGGATTACCTTATGCGGAGATGGGTTCACGGATCAAGGGAATTGGCTGTCGTTCCCTTCAACCATTAGTGGTGTCCTATATAATGAAATACCTATCCTTTGTAATAAATATAGCTTGCAGTATAGAAACCTTCGTAAATAACTGTTTTCCTAAATTTAGAAGCTTCTAAACCAGGTTAGTGATTTGGAAAAGCTTGTAGACCAGCTTAACGTACAGAAAAGCTTGTAGACCAGGCTAAACCACGGAAAAGCTTGTAGACCAGGTTAGACCACGGAAATGCTTGTAGGCCAGGTTAAACTACAGAATAGCTTGTAGGCCAGGTTTTTGACTACGGAAAACGTGTAAAGCAAGTTATTGGCTACAAAAAGCTGGTAAAACAAGTCAGTTTTCTACACCCCTTTAAAGTGTGGTGTGTGTTGCATTTTGTGGGTGTACACTTAAACTTGCAGTTAGGAGCACTCACCATTATAACACTTTACCTCCGCCCTCGCCCTCTTCCTATATCTGTCATATACCATCTAGTGTGGTGGAACAAGAAGGGGAAAACATAGCTAGCTCTTGTTTTAACTGTCTCGTAGAATGGCTTAGCAGTACATTACTGATGTAATCATTTTTGTTTTATAAATAAAGCCCCGGTGTCTCTATGACAGCTTGGTTGATCAAGCAAGCAGCTAACACGGAGTCCGGATTGCGAGACTAGCAAACTGGAAACAGATCACAGCTAATAATAATAATATAATTGTTTTTTCTCCCGGTTGCTTTTGCTTTTCCCTGACTAACTGACCCACGCAGATTTACGTTTTTTTATTATAATATTGTGTGGTTGTGTTGTGTTAGTGATGTGTGTGTATGTGTAGGCGGGGAGGGAGAATCACGTTTGATGCAAGTTGATAAATATTGTTGGTGTTGATCTGGCTCCTCCTGCAGCCATTACTTCTAGACGTGAGAAGCCTGCTACCCTGTCTTTGCTATAGGGAAGGGTATCGGTGCTGTAGGGAAGGGGGTCCATCTGTATATTTCGACCCCCTGCTGGGATCCTCTTCAGCAGAATGGGGTCAAAATATACAGATTAATTAATTTCTTGCGTTTCTGTCTGTGGGTTATTATTGAGCACATACATACTGACTTACCTGTGCAGCATTATCTGCGTCTTTTTAATTGTGTAAATTGTTAAAAACAATGAGGTATAAAATTGAGTGCAGTGGCTATCTTGCTGTCTTCCCGTTCGTGTCAACTGAGTTTTTTTTTTTTTAACTGTGGTGGTGGGAGTGTAAGTCAATCTTCATTGCAGTATCACACAGTAAAGCGTCTGCCAGCTGGATTTACTACTGTTATAGAACGACAGTAACATGTGTCGCTTTGTGTTACATTCGGTGAGGCAAGGCAAGGACACATCGCCAGGTAGTACCAGGGGCCCCACCCTATTGTAAAACCTATCTACCTCTTATCCTTGGTCTTCCTTCCTATACTTGCTACTTATTTCCCACTTTACTTCCTCCACTTACTAGCTCTTCCACAAATTTTCCTTCCACTTGTTTGCTATTTTGGAATTTTCTTTCCTGGCTATTTGGTCTGGGATTGGGCTGGCAGGGGGGGGGGCGTGCCCCCCAGAGGATACTGGAAGTAACTTAAGGGTATTTTTCTTACTCGTTAGCTCTGTTTCCCGTCTGCCCCCTAGTAACGTACATAGATGATTGACACACTGGTGCAACACGAGGGTATCTGAGGAATGTATGGTGATACATTTCTCAGATACTTGTGTACAATTCAGAACATTTATATATGTCCTGAACGGTTACCTGGAGGTTATTCCGGGGATCAACGCCCCCGCGGCCCGGTCCATGACCAGGCCTCCCGATGGATCAGGGCCTGATCAACTAGGCTGTTACTGCTGGCCGCACGCAGTCCGACGTACGAGCCACAGCCCATACTAGGGTAATTTCATTGTGGGAACGATTCGCCAGTCAGCATGCTTGATCAGGCAAGCGTCAGATAAGCTTGGCCAAGGGCTGGGTTGCGGGAGTATAATTCTTTAAATCCTTAAGTTGGTAGTTTACTCACCTCAGACATTGAGTGTCCGTGGTTCGATCTCCGGCTTAGGTGGAAACATTTGGTCATGTTTCCTTACACCTGCTACCCCTGTTCAGCTAACAGTAAATAGGTACTAAGCCACAGGCTAGTGGCATACGTGCTGGCCTGGAGTTTTACGACGCGCTTGCCGGGAGTTCAATCCCTACACGTACCGTGGTTTGTTAACCCACTGTTGTGGGTGGCATCCTGGGTAAAATTGATTTGTGTAAACCAAAAAAAGAAATGGTATCTAGACCATGAGTTTAAGGTGCATAACTCACATGGCTTGTAAATATATTACGAAGGCATATTATAATTTTTTTTGTCCTATCTTCCCCTCCAATATCTGTTCCTATATTTTCCCAGAAGATGGGAATTACCCATTATCCCTCCTTCGTATTCGTATAGGCTAGCGTGGAACTGACGCAGTTGCTTCACTACACCTTAATCCAATCTACATTCCCGAGGTCCCTTACCTTCTCTCGTACCTCCCCCTGTCTTAAACGTCTTGAGGGGACACCTATCCAACTCTTCACTTAATCTTACCCTCGCGTATAGCTCCAACCTCCCCAGATATTACCCTTCCCCAACAACCCCGGGTATTCTTCCAGCTACCCCAGATACTTCAATAATCCTCGGATATTTCCCGGATATCTGTATTATCGTCTCCCTATCTTGTTTATTCTGGTTGTAAGAACATAAGAAAGGAGTACTGCAGCAGGCCTACTGGCCCATGCGAGGCAGGTCCAAGTCGCCTACCAGCTTATGCCACTGACCCATCCTAGTCAGGTTCAGGTCACATCCACTTAAGGAAAGAGCACGGCATCGGACCTACTAGCATAAGCTAGTCAGGTCCAACTCACACCCACTCATGTATTTATCTAACCTATTTTTAAAACTGCACAGCGTTTTAGCTTATATGACGGTACTCGGGAGTTTATTCCACTCATCCACAACTATTACCAAACCAGTGCTTTCCCATATCCTTCCTGAATCTGATTTTTTTCCAACTTAAACCATTGCTGCGAATCTTGTCTTGGCTAGATATTTTTAGCACGCTATTTACATCCCCTTTATTTATTCATGTTCTTCCTTTTATACACCTCAGCCATATCCGCCCTAATTCTACGCATTCCTGTCCTATACTGTCCAGTACTGTTAAGTCACAGACCGGAACATATAAAGATTCATCAGCAGTGTTGACAGGGAATTCATATGTTAGTGAAATAGTCTATATCAGTATTTCAGTCTCCAGTTAATGCCATCTTCGGGAGAAAACTGGAAAAGCATCTCCACGTAGTGCCAGATGAGAACCAGGTTGTGATGCATGTGAGCCAGCGGGCCGCCAGCAGCAACAGCCTGGTTATCCAGGCAACCCTTGCCCAACCGATTGTATTAATATTGGTAGATTTACCGACAATATGTTAAGTAAAAGGACATAAGTGCAACTAAGGTGACATTTTATTGTGGCAAAGTTTCGCTCTCCAGGAGCTTTGTCATGCCGGCTTGACAAAGCTCCTGGAGAGCGAAACATTGCACAATAAAATATCACATTAGTTGCACTTGTCGTTTTACTTAACCCTTGCCCAGGACAGGGCTTCCAGAGTAGGAAAACTCTCGAAACTCATCAAATATATGGTAGAGGTGTGGCATCCACGGGACTCAACCCCCCCCCCCACGTCTTCGCCTTTCGTACGCACGTCTTTTCCCTTACATTCTGGCCCAGCCCCTTTAATGCCGCATTCCGGCGTCTGGTTCGCGTCTAGCCAATTCCATACACGCCGGTCCCACACAGTAGAGAAAATGGGCGTTGTGGGTGCCTGGGGATGGGTGGGATTGAGGGTGGATCTCCTTATTAGCGTCTCTGCCAGACATACTATATTTCTCTCTCTCTCTCTCTCTCTCTCTCTCTCTCTCTCTCTTCTCTCTCTCTCTCCTCTCTCTCTCTCTCTCTTCTCACTCTCTCTCTCTCTCTCTCTCTCTCTCTCTCTCTCTCTCTCTCTCTCTCTCTCTCTCTCTCTCTCTCTCTCTCTCTCTCCTCTCTCCTCTCTCTCTCTCTCTCTCTTCTCTCTCTCTCTCTCTCTCTCTCTCTCTCTCTCTCTCTCTCTCTCTCTCTCTCTCTCTCTCTCTCTCTCCCCCTTCTCCCCCCCCCCCCAAAAAAAAAAAAAAAAAAAAAAAATCAAATTAGGGACTGCAGAGGATTAATCACTAGTAATTCAAGAAACAAGCAGTGTGGTTTGGATGTGACCCTCAGGTGCAACTACTTACTACAGGTGGCAGTAGGAGTTTAGGAGACAGGTATATACATTGATTTTTGCCTCATGGTTCTGCCAGAGTACTTTTGAACTCATGCACAAGTGGGTTTAGGTTTGACAAGGACGTGCCAAGTATGGGCCAGTAGGCCTGCTGCAGTGTTTCTCCTTTCTTATGATATGCCGGAACTTAGGAAATGAGATGTAGGAGACAACTTGGATACGTTGTAAGCCCAACAAACTACCATGGTTTGATCCAAGGAGCAGAAGAGTACCTCTGGTATCATTGAACCAGGCATCTCTCCACTAGCATCAAGGTACTTCCCGCAAAGGGAGTTAATTGTACATTATTATTATTATTATATTCACGTGGAAGTGCTAAGCCTGTAGGGATCATACAGAATCTGGGGTGTGAGTGATAATTAGGTTTAATCCAAGGAACACGATGGCTCCAGTTCCTTAATTAAGAGCCCTTCAGAATCAAGGCACTTATGCTCTTGAAGGGAATTTGTTGTACATTATATAAAAAATTCGTAATGTATACTTTATCATTTTTTTTCTTCTTCAACAGAAGATGAGATTGATGTTGTGAGCGTCGGCAGCCCAAACAGTGTCTACTCAAGCAGTTCCAACACAAGTTCCAGCAGGCGACAAAACAACACCACCTTCATCACCACCACTACTAGTGGTATGAAAAAGGTGGTCAAGGTGCGTGGTGGCATCCTTCCTGTCAAACCCACAAAGCGCATGAGGAAGCGACTACAGCAAGCAGTGGCAGAAGGTGTTAAGAGAAAACCCGCAGCTGCACCTGATCTCGTGCGTGGTAATGTTGTGGTGCTCCGAAGGGTGGGCATTTCTACTACAACCAAGACTCCCAAGCGAATTTTGAGGCATGTTCCACAGAAGGCCAAGGCATTGAGGTCGGACTCGCATGACCCAGAGAAACGAGAGATGCACAATTCCCTAGAGCGCTTGAGGAGAGTAGATCTCCGTAATTCATTTGAAGAACTACGGTTACTTGTCCCAGAAATACAAGATCGTGAGAAGGCCCCTAAAGTGGAGATCCTAAGGAATGCATCTCAGTACTGTCATACTATCACTATAAAAGAACAATCCTTAGTGCAGGAGAAGGCAAAACTCACACAATACCAAAAGAAACTACGTGAACGGTTACAAACTTTACAGAGACAACGACGCTAATTAATTCCTGAACACATTAGTCATGCTAGGTATTGGTGGGGTGAACCTGAGGATATACCTCAGACCACAGTGGTGCCTGCAAAAGGTCATTGTCATGCTGCTGCTCCAAAGTGAAGTGTAGAATTATAATTTTAGATTGTTGTATGTGTGTGTGTGTATGCTCGGGGCGACTTAATGCTTCTGGAGTGTTAAATGTCACAGTTGATATATTTTTGAGTTGAAAGGGAGCAGCAGCATGCCAAAGGCCTTTAGCTTACTTTTTAGAGAGGGTTAAATTTACAAAGTGTACATATAGTAAATTTTTGACCAGGCTTGTGTTCCTGGACTGAGTTGTGAAGCTTATTAGAAGCAGCACAAGTCCAATGCAGCTTAACCTAAATGTTTGGTCATCTCAAGAAGAGAATTTGATGAACACAAAGGCTTACGTAGCCATTTTGTGCAGCACTTGTATTTAATTTTTTATGAATCTATTACATAACCAGTGTACATAGGAGTTTGAACTTAGTATTGTATGTGTAAATCAAATGTGTGTAATAGAAGTTGACTATGAATTATTCTATTTAGTGTTTAGGGTTTGGTCACGGATGTACCTTTCATTGGCAACCTCTCTGTGTGCAGGGAGTTTATACATGTGTAAAATAGTTACTGAATAATTTGTGATATATGTATTATAGGTATTTTGTGGTGGCTTGGCAGGCTGGTGGGTGGGGGGCCTGGCAGAGGAAAAGTTACGCAGCTCAGACTGCAGACAACAAGCACTATACAATATTTTCCAGCATGTAAGACGATGTTTCTAAGCAGTTGTAACGTTAGTAAAAAACTGCTAAAGTGTAACCCAAAGCCTACCCTCGACCCTGACCTTCAGCATATTAGGCACAGACTGATTTTCCAAGATTTTTTGTGGGAAAAAAAAAAAAAGTGCGCTTTATATGCCCGAAAATACTGTATGTATACACGTCCACCAACTAAGATAAATTTGTCCCATAATTAATTATTTACTGCATCTGTCGACCTGTATATGCGGTATCCTCACGTTATTTCGAATCTAATGTAAATTTAGCTTGTTGCTATATTCATGGGCACATGCTCAACCTGTAGCAGTTATACAGTACCAGGGGAATGGGTGGATATCTTCAGTTTTTTGGATCAAAATGCCCCCCTTTCCTGTCCTGCAGGTTTCTAAACTGCAGTAGTCTCGTATCCGCGGATACTGGGGTTCTGCTGTACGTATTACAATTTCATTGTAAGAATATTGCTATTATATGGCAGTGTTCAGTCACCGCCAGTACGGTTAAGTAACACAATCAACTTAGTAGTAAACAAGTACACATAACCTTACAAGATCAAGTTTTATGTTAATTTATGCTTGAATAAACGTGAGGTAACTATGCCAAAACTGATGAGGAAGACGGTGTAGCCGAGATTTTCTGTGGATATTTTGCCCTTCATGAAGGTCCATTGGTCCATCTTATTGTCCCTCATGACGGTCCGTTGGTACATCATATTATCCCTCGTGAAGGTCTGTTGGTCCATATTGTTTCTTGTTAATACACTCAAATGTAGTTCATATTAGTAATTATAATGTAAATTTTCTTTTGCAATTGTATATTTCCTAGAGTCCAGTAATTATGTTTTTAGTGATTAGTGTTTAATTCATTTCATAGACTATTGTGGTTACTGTTAACAAATTTTTTTCTACTAGTGGTTTTGGTTGAGTTTTGCCTTTTGCTTGATGAAGAAATATATTAAGCCCATAGCCAGGCTCTGGGAGTAGAAAAACTTGCAAAACTCATAAATTTACTGCATTTACTGCATTTTCTCTTATGTCCATGCATCATCCTGATAACATTAACCTATAACAAGGCCGTTAAAATGTCAAAAATCAGGTTTAACATATAAACTTGTGTAAATATTTATTCTTTCATTTTTGTGATACGTAATGTATATATATATATACATGTATATAATATATATAAGTCCATGATTTTTGTATGGGCATATACACGTTGCCATTTTGTTTACAAGAGGGTAGCATTGCCATGTAGGCTAGAACTGTTGGACAACAACATTTGCCGACAAATGTGGTTAAAAAAGGCACCCTGTGTCTGCAAGCCTTTATTATATTCATATGAATATAATAATTTATGGATGTCGTTTTGCTCGAAGTGAAGCTCTGTTGGGTCATTGATTTTTGCAAAACTCTACTTGGAGCGAAATGTTGTTTATACATAAAAGTTTGCACTGGGCATAGTGTGTGGCCTATTTTTGTTTTTTTTTCCATATTCTAGAACTACTCACCGCTCTGCCTATCCTGTGTGTTGCCATGACTAGGATTAAGTGTAGCATAATTGCACTGTGCATTACATCTTCACCACCACCACTACTGCTACTGCCATTTCTGGCACCACCACAACCATCATCATCATACACAATATTTCGTCCCATCTCTGTCCATCCCTGTCTTTTCTGCTACATATCTCACAAATACCTGTCCATCTAACCACTACAGAGTGCGGCACAGGTCGCTTCACCAAAAATTTTAATTTTTAGACTTGTCTGCACTGATTTGGACACAATTCAGTGTAGAAAATTATAAGAATATCTATTCTCGTTAAAGCAGATCATTCCTCGGCCTATGTGTCTCCCCCCTCCCCACACACACACACTTACCATAAGCTTATCCTGCAGTAATTTTTGTTCTGCATTCGTCTCGTATCTCGTCATTTTGACCTAAGTCATCTTTCCCTAAACTTGTTCATCCTTATAAATATACAATTCATTCACTGCAGAATATTTAACATGATCAGTATACACTTCACTGCTGCATATTTAACATGATCAGTATACACTTCATTCACTGCTAAATATTTAACATCATGCCCATTCACTCATGTGTAAATTATCCGTATCCTCTCATAATACTGAAGAAAGACTAGTGAATGCCTCTTGTTTCAGCATTCACTGAACCACCATCATTCCTCGCATTCAACGTTGATTAGCTCGCACTACCTTCCTTAACTATTAACCAAGAGCCAGTAGTTGGAAATCTGCATTGCAAATCAGTCATTTCAACTCTCCAAGGGGTAACAAATATTATCCTGTTTAAACTGGGCAAGTGTAATACCGCTCCATGGTAGGGCATTATAGCTGCTCTGTAAGATGGGCAGTAACCCCGACACGTAACAGACCCAAGACGCGTCGACAGTCAGCCTCTGTTGAAACATTTTGCCCTCGTTGGGCAAAAGTCTATAATATAGGCTTTAATCTGTCTGTTTTTTTTTTTATCATAGTTTCTGTTGAGATGTTTGGCAACTTTAATTTTAACTTCAAAGAATTTTTTTTTTTTTTTGTAAACATTATAAGTAGTTTTTTCCAAAGCATACCACTTTTTGTACATAGCTTTTTTTATTATGCTTTTTATATTTTTATTTGCTATCAAAATTGTATATTACCTTATTTGTTGCATACAAATTATGTATGTTTATTGGTATTTCAATGGTATTTTATTTGGTCCTTTATTTGTATTATATATTGAGGAGTACACAGCCATTGTGTGAAAAGGAATTTCAAAGGCACTGCTGGAGATGTGTGGGTATGATTTTTTTTTACATGCATTATGCCTGTGTTTGGTTTTGAGGGTTTTTGTGCCCTCTTGGGGGTCGGCCTGAGGCTAGGCTTCCTTGTTGATGCCCTCGTCAGCCAGACTGTTGGTGCTAGTGGCATGCTGTTTGAAAACTGTCAAGCTGAAATGCACTGAGACACTATTGCAGTGTGGAAGCCGTGTATAACAGTGTTTCATTAGCTCCATTGTCATGCACTGTTTCTTTACTGCATTAAGGTGTCTCGTTTTAGTTCGGTTGTTGCTGCTAGCAGCCTGCAGGCCATAAGAACTGAAGGGATACAGTGGAACTCTGGTGTTTGAACTTAATTGGTTCCTAGGTGGTGTTGGAACTGCAAAAATTTCAATGTTCAGAATAGTATTTCCTCATTATTTCCTCACTACAGGATGTTGAACTGTTACAAAAGTCTCTAAGAGTTAGGTCAGTGTCAGAAATCACTTCAAGCACTTTCGGAATGGGGCTTTCCCGCAATTCAATGCATTTGGACTCCAGAAAAAGATTCAAAGACCGGGTCATTTTTTTCTGAACAAAATTGTCCAGACTTGGGTTTGTTCGAGGTCCGGCACATTCGAACAAAGAGGTCCCACTGTACCTCCTTCCAAGGATACCTCAGACTGGTATACATGAGGTATATAATTAACTGTCACAGTGTAACATGGATGTAAGCTGGTGCCTGAGAGTAGTTTCAATGTTAGTGTTCCACAAGATTTTTTTTTTTTTTTAAGTATATCTTGGAGAGTGGCATTTGTATTTGAACCAAGCCAGAGGAAGACTATCAAAGTTCCAATCATCTTTAATTGTGAAGATAAAGTCGAGTATTTTAAGCCTAAAACATATGCTATTTTGACGTGGTTTCAGTCTCCCATCCTCAGATACCTATTTCTGTCACCTATTTATCATTTGGCCCAAAGTTAATTTATTTTGTATGTTAATACACGCCTCCCATTTTGGTAGGGAGGGAACTCATTTTAACATGTTAACCACCACCACCATCTTAGGTCTTAAGGAAGAGGAAGTAGTTACTGCTCAATTTTTTCTCACTAAGCATTATTTTTGTACGAAAATCTTCCAAAAAATAAAAAATTCAAAAATATTTATACGGCATCACTATGAAATGTGTTACCCATGTGTTGCGTCCCATGAAGTTCTTAATGCCTTGACAAAGTTTTCCAAACAAAAAATTTTTTTTACATAATTTACCTGGAATAGATTTTGTGTCCCATATTGTTTGAGTCAACTGGAGTTAAGTGAAGTCCCAGAGAGTTTGGCCTCGTTTAATACAGGATATTTTCTGTGTTTTTTATAACTGTATATTTCAGTTCAAAGTTTAAATAGTAGCAAAATTTTGGACTTTGTTCATTTTTCTAATGCATATAATCAGTTTTTTTTTATTTAGTTTTTAACATAGGGGACGATATCTTGGCGCTCAGGTTTGTCATGTAACCAACTAAGTTCTTTATTAAAAATTTATTATAATATATGATTTTTAATTACCTTTTATTAATATAGTTTGTAATAAAGGGAGCTCGTGTTTACCTATGACCAGTGTCGAGAGTTTCTTTCCTGGCAGCCCATGGTAGGGGGGGGGTCTCTCTGACAACAATAATAATACAGTGGACCCCCGGTTAACGAACTTTTTTCATTCCAGTAGTATGTTCAGGTGCCAGTACTGACCGAATTTTTTCCCATAAGGAATATTGTGAAGTAGATTAGTCCATTTCAGACCCCCGAACATACACATACAAACGCACTTACATAAATACACTTACATAATTGGTCGCATTTGGAGGTGATCGTTAAGTGGGGGTCCACTGTATTTGTTTTTTGTTAATTTAGTATGATAGTATTTGTTAAGTGAGACGCTTGTGCCACATTTGAGTATCTTTATTCTGGAGATGTTTCCACCTTTCTCTGCATTGGGCTTTTTCGACTCAGTGCAGAGAAAGTTGGAAGATGAAGAGTTTGAGGTAATCGGTCCCTCTGGCTGGAGTCGATGTGCTCATTACATCAGTTTTGATATTGTAGCATATTCACAGAGATGGGGCTCATGTACTGCTGTATGTATCTTACTGTTGAAGAGTGCTGTCAAAATTATTATTATGATTATTATTTATTATTATTATTATTATCAGTTCCTTGATTCCCGGATGGCCTACATAAATAGTTCTGCGTCAACAATGACAATTATTATTATCGGTTCCTTGATGTCGGAAAGTTGCTCTTGATATAAACTGGACTAATTCCTTGACTTGTCTTCCATTTCTCCTAGGTGCTGTATGACCCCTGCCATTTTAGCGCTTCCTTAATATCCTGGAAGCCTAGTTTGAGGCAAGACTTCGTTATCCCTCCTTCCTATGGTCTTACAAAGGCCTACTTCCCTTTGCCTGGTGGGGAGCCCAGCCATATGGTGCGAGGGTGAGACGACCTCTTAGAATACAAGGGAAAAAAGAGATTAGCGCTCGTCTCACATTTCTTACAAACGGAACTGGAGACAACAGTCTCAATACCTCGCAAAGGCTGTGACTGTTAGCGGCCTTCCTGGCCGCTAACATCAGGGTCCCCAAAAGAAATTTTTCATGACGGCACAAGACTGCTTTGGGGCCCCTGGGGGCAGGCTGAGGCCCTTAGTCTAAGTGAATTTTACGTAATTATTTTTTCTAAATAAACTAATAGGTGAAATTAACAAAAATGAATATGGGGCCCATCAGAGATTCACAGCCGGGCCCCGGACCAATGTACCGGCTGAACGCCCCCTCTCATAGGCCCTGGCTAACGTACCTGGAGGTTATTCCGGGGATCAGCGCCCCCGCGGCCCGGTCTGTGACCAGGCCTCCCAGTGGATCAGTGCCTCATCAACCAGACTGTTACTGCTGGTCGCACGTAGCCCAGCGTACCAACCACAGCCCGGCTGTCACAGTACTTAATTTTTGTAAATGATTTACAGGAGGAAAAAATCTCAGTGTGGTCCTTGATGCTGGCGAGTTCTTGATACAGAAAATTTATTTTAATATTGAATACGGAAATAATGTATTATATAGCAAATGTGCTGTATGACCTTACGGGTTTACCGCCTTCCTATTTACGTAGGTCATGCATGGTTAAGAAATTATCTTTAAGGGGAAGCTGGTAAAGGGCTCTTCATATGAGGATCTGGAGTTAACCAAGCGTTATAATTAGGTAGGCAAGGTTTGTCAGGAAACAGGGCAAGTGTTTCCTAACGTTGGAACTTTTGGTCATCTGACCGAGGCCTTCTGCTGGCTTACCTCTCCACGAAAATTTCTACATGACAGAGTAAATCATGGGGGGAGGAGGGGGGGGCAGCGGTTTTCCGTGCTCGTCGTGAGACCCATTAACGTAAATAACAGATAATTTTCAGTTTTAAGAACACGGACGAACAGAGCAAGAAAAAAATGATCTTATTCACGCAATATCATGTAATAAAAATTACCGTAATTGAACACTGGCAAGAGACGTGAACACAACGCTGGTGGTGAGACGTGAACACAACGCTGGTGGTGCACACGTGAACACAGTGCTGGTGGTGAGACGTGAACACAACGCTGGTGGTGAGACGTGAACACAACGCTGGTGGTGAGACGTGAACACAACGCTGGTGGTGAGACGTGAACACAACGCTGGTGGTGAGACGTGAACACAGTGCTGGTGGTGAGACGTGAACACAACGCTGGTGGTGAGACGTGAACACAACGCTGGTGGTGAGACGTGAACACAACGCTGGTGGTGAGACGTGAACACAACGCTGGTGGTGACACGTGAACACAACGCTGGTGGTGACACGTGAACACAACGCTGGTGGTGACACGTGAACACAACGCTGGTGGTGACACGTGAGCACAACGCTGGTGGTGACACGTGAGCACAACGCTGGTGATGACCCTGGCGTGCACAACTGGACCTCCCTGGAGCACAGCGCTGGTGATGACCCTGCTGTGCACAACTGGACCTCCCTGGAGCACAGCGCTGGTGATGACCCTGCTGTGCACAACTGCACCTGCCTGAGTCATAGCTGCACCTCCCTGGATCACAGCTGCACCTTTCTGGATCACAGCTGCACCTTCCTGGATCACAGCTGCACCTCCCTGGAGCACAACTGCACCTCCCTGGATCACAGCTGCACCTCCCTGGAGCACAGCTGCACCTCCCTGGATCACAACTGCACCTCCCTGGATCACAGCTGCACCTCTCTGGATCACAGCTGCACCTCCCTGGATCACAGCTGCACCTCCCTGGATCACAGCTGCACCTCCCTGGATCACAGCTCCACCTCCCTGGATCACAGCTGCACCTTCCTGGATCACAGCTGCACCTTCCTGGATCATAGCTCCACCTCCCTGGATCACAGCTGCACCTTCCTGGATCATAGCTCCACCTCCCTGGATCACAGCTCCACCTCCCTGGATCATAGCTCCACCTCCCTGGATCACCTAAGTACTCTGCTTTAACCATCTCGGCACGATGAAAATCTTTTAAAACTTGATAAATAACTGGAGACGCAAGTGTAAATAATGTTTATAAGTGAGGTAAGAGACTAGGAAGGGTGTAAGAGAGACTAGGAAGGGTGTAAGAGATTAGGAAGGGTGTAAGAGAGTCTAGGAAGGGTGTAAGAGAGTCTAGGAAGGGTGTAAGAGAGCCTAGGAAGGGTGTAAGAGAGACTAGGAAGGGTGTAAGAGAGACTAGGAAGGGTGTAAGAGAGCCTAGGAAGGGTGTAAGAGAGCCTGGGAAGGGTGTAAGAGAGACTAGGAAGGGTGTAAGAGAGCCTAGGAAGGGTGTAAGAGAGACTAGGAAGGGTGTAAGAGAGCCTAGGAAGGGTGTAAGAGAGACTAAAAGGGGGTTGTAAGAGAGACTAGGAAGGGTGTAAGAGAGCCTAGGAAGCGTGTAAGAGAGCCTAGGAAGGGTGTAAGAGAGAATAGGAAGGGTGTAAGAGAGACTAGGAAGGGTGTAACAGAGACTAGGAAGGGTGTAACAGAGACTAGGAAGGGTGTAACAGAGACTAGGAAGGGTGTAACAGAGACTAGGAAGGGTGTAACAGAGACTAGGAAGGGTGTATGAGAGTGTAGGAAGGGTTTAAGAGAGACCAGAAGGGTGAAAGAGACCCTAGGAAGGGTGTAAGAGAGACTAGGAAGGGTGTAAGAGAGAGTAGGAAGGGTGTAAGAGAGACTAGAAAGGGTATAAGAGAGCCTAGGAAGGGTGTAAGAGAGACTAGGAAGGGTGTACGAGAGACTAGGAAGGGTGTAAGAGAGACTAGGAAGGGTGTAAGAGAGACTAGGAAGGGTGTAAGAGAGACTAGGAAGGGTGTAAGAGAGACTAGGAAGGGTGTAAGAGAGTAGGAAGGGTGTAAGAGGAGCCTAGGAAGGTGTAAGAGAGACTAGGAAGGTGTAAGAGAGACTAGGAAGGGTGTAAGAGAGACTAGGAAGGGTGTAAGAGAGCCTAGAAGGGTGTAAGAGAGCCTAGGAAGGGTGTAAGAGAGACTAGGAAGGGTGTAAGAGAGACTAGGAAGGGTGTAAGAGAGAACTAGGAAGGGTGTAAGAGAGACTAGAAGGGTGTAAGAGAGACTAGGAAGGGTGTAAGAGAGACTAGGAAGGGTGTAAGAGAGACTAGGAAGGGTGTAAGAGAGACTAGAAAGGGTGTAAGAGAGACTAGGAAGGGTGTAAGAGAGCCTAGGAAGGGTGTAAGAGAGCCTAGGAAGGGTGTAAGAGAGACTAGGAAGGGTGTAAGAGAGACTAGGAAGGGTGTAACAGAGACTAGGAAGGGTGTAACAGACTAGGAAGGGTGTAACAGAGACTAGGAAGGGTGTAACAGAGACTAGGAAGGGTGTAACAGAGAGTAGGAAGGGTTTAAGAGAGACCAGAAAGGGTGTAAAGAGAGCCTAGGAAGGGTGTAAGAGAGACTGGGAAAGGGGTGTAAGAGAGAGTGGGAAAGGGTGTAAGAGAGACTAGAAAGGGTATAAGAGAGCCTAGGGAGGGTGTAAGAGAGCCTAGGAGGGTGTAAGAGAGACTAGGAAGGGTGTAAGAGAGACTAGGAAGGGTGTAAGAGAGACTAGGAAGGGTGTAAGAGAGACTAGGAAGGGTGTAAGAGAGACTAGGAAGGGTGTAAGAGAGCCTAGGAAGGGTGTAAGAGAGCCTAGGAAGGGTATAAGAAGACTAGGAAGGGTGTAAGAGAGACTAGGAAGGTGTAAGAGAGACTAGGAAGGGTGTAAGAGAGACTAGGAAGGGTGTAAGAGAGACTAGGAAGGGTGTAAGAGAGACTAGGAAGGGTGTAAGAGAGCCTAGGAAGGGTTTAAGAGAGACTAGGAAGGGTGTAAGAGAGTAGGAAGGGTGTAAGAGAGACTAGAAAGGGTGTAAGAGAGCCTAGGAAAGGTGTAAGAGAGACTAGGAAGGGTATAAGAGAGACTAGGAAGGGTGTAAGAAAGACTAGGAAGGGTGAAAGACTAGGAAGGGTGTAAGAGAGACTAGGAA